TGTCCAAATAACCATACAATATCGCAGGATATTTGTACTCTATTCGCGCGTTATTTGTGCTCTGCTTTGTGCAATTGAGTAATAAGCGCCGATATTCTCTCTTTTTTTTTCTGTTTCAATTTCTTTGTATTGATGAGCCCCGACTTAAGCCGCTCTCTAAAATCCGATATTCATTATACTTTTATACAAACTGCCAAACTCTGAACATTTCTGAAAATGTGTTCTTAGCTGTGTAAAGCTTCGTGTTCGTCGCAGACGTTACATAGTCTGTCACACAATGACTCACCAGTGTCAGCGTGACAACTAAGAGGATTTTTTCGGGTGACAGCAGGGAAAAAAACACACCATTTTTTAAGAACTTATTAGCAAGATTTTAATCTGATATATATTCTTATGTTATAGAGATCTCTCAAGTAACGCGATATCCACTTTGTCATCTCAACAAGTTACTGATCTTCCACGGAACTTACGTGTACTGTAAGTTTCATATGGGTAACTGTATCTTGTAAGCCGGTTCAATATTTTTCTTTTAAAGTCGAAATCCGTTGGATTTCTACGAAAAATTCATGTCCCTTTCATAGTTTTATCACTCGTGTATGTTGAATCACAGATTTCCTCTTATCTTTTGTCTATCCTGTCTTTACACAGCTGTGAGAAACCTAAAAGATGTGTTCTTTAAACGACTAATACTCGGGAAACACGTGAAAGAAGAATTGTACCCAAAAGTTTGTTACGTGAAGGAATGATTCTGAGTGCTCTTGTGAAAAATGTTTTTCTCTTTTTAATCTTCTCGAAGACCAAGATCATCTAAAGCTTGCCTTCGTATGGTAAAAGTTATTTCACCACCCAGCTCTCCTTTTTTCCCCCATTCCATTAGGATATATCCATTGCCATCTCAATGGATATCTATTGCCATCTCACTTATAACATGTTCAGGCTAAGAGTATCCCCTGATATGTTTTCATGAATATTTTTGATTTTGTTTCAAGGAACCTGTTGGACAATCCAATAGATTGTGAAGACGCAATTCTAAAGCAACTGGCAGCTTCTATTACTCTTAAGTCCAACTGCGGCCAAATATCGAAT